CATAGTGATGGTGATGACTTCTAACAACAGATACATAGTGATGGTGATGACTTCTAACAACAGATACATAGTGATGGTGATGACTTCTAACAACAGATACATAGTGATGGTGATGACTTCAAACAACAGGTACATAGTGATGGTGATGACTTCAAACAACAGGTACATAGTGATGGTGATGACTTCAAACAACAGGTACATAGTGATGGTGATGACTTCTAACAACAGATACATAGTGAGGGTGATGACTTCAAACAACAGATACATAGTGAGGGTGATGACTTCAAACAACAGATACATAGTGAGGGTGATGACTTCTAACAACAGAAGTCATCACCCTCACTATGTATCAAACAACAGATACATAGTGATAGTGATGACTTCTAACAACAGATACATAATGATAGTGATGACTTTTAACAACAGATACATAATGATGGTGATGACTTGCAATAACAAATACAAAGTGATGGTGATGACTTGTAATAACAAATACAAAGTGATGGTGATGACCTCTAACAACAGATACATAGTGGGGGTGATGACTTGTAACAATAGATATTTAGAGATATAGGTGACTTCTAACAGTAGATATGTGGTAGTGGAAGTGTCTTCTAACAGAATGTGGTGATGGAAGTGTCTTCTAATAGTAGATATGTGGTGATGGAAGTGTCTTCTAACAGTAGATATGTGGTGATGGAAGTGTCTTCTAACAGTAGATATGTGGTGATGGAAGTGTCTTCTAACAACAGATACAAAGTGGAGATTATGATTACCATCAACAACAATAATGGGACAATAATCAATGTTAAACTACATTTCTTCATTCCTCAGAATATAACTGTAGATACAGTATTTATAAAGTTTACTTATTTTCCAGAAATGAAATAGTTCTCTTCTTAGATTTGTAATTTAATAAAATTCTTCTTGTTACAGAATTAAGTCATAGAACTCATTTTGCAAATGGAGAATTGCATGCTGTTGGTAGTGTAGCAGGAGGTGGTCGCTATGACAACCTTGTTGGAATGTTTGATTCAAAACAAAGAAATGTTCCTTGTGTTGGAATTAGTATTGGAATTGAAAGGATATTCTCGATAATAGAGGCACGTGCTCAGGTAAGTTTTGAGTAAGATACAAGAGTCACACTTTAGAGCTTTTGATTCACCGGCTTATCAAGAGAAAAGGCTGTTAGTTTACATAATTTTGCTCTGTAACGAGCACCACTACAGTTTAGAAAGAATTATGCATAAATGTACTTTGTTTTGAACAGTGATTTATCATAAGTATTTCATTTATGCTTCCGAGAAAAAATTGTGTAATTATAAAAGTATGAATTATTCTCTAGTAATTACATGATATGTATGTTATACGAAACAGGGACTCCACCTAGTATGAATCTGTTACTTTACCCTCCACCTAGTATGAATCTGTTCCTTTACCCTCCACCTAGTATGAATCTGTTCCTTTACCCTCCACCTAGTATGAATCTGTTCCTTTACCCTCCACTAAGTATAAATTTGTTCCTTTACCCTCCACTAAGTATAAATTTGTTCCTTTACCCTCCACCTAGTATAAATCTGTTCCTTTACCCTCCACCTAGTATGAATCTGTTCCTTTACCCTTCACCTAGTCTGAATCTTTTCCTTCAATCTCCACTTAGTATGAATCTTTTCCTTCAATCTCCACTTAGTATGAATCTCTTCCTTCAACCTCCACCTAGTCTCAATCTCTTCTTTCAACCTCCACCTAGTCTCAATCTCTTCCTTCAACCTCCACCTAGTCTCAATCTCTTCCTTCAACCTCCACTTAGTCTGAATCTTTTCTTTCAACCTCCACTTAGTCTGAATCTCTTCCTTCAGCCTACACCTAATATGAATCTCTTCCTTCAGCGTACACCTAATATGAATCTGCTTCTTTTCTCTTCACCTAGTATGAATCTGCTCATTTACCCTCCATCTAGTATGAATCTGCTCATTTACCATGCACTTAGTATGAATCTGCTTCTTTGCCCTCCACCTAATATGAATCTGATCCTTCATCCTCCACCTAGTCTGTATCTTTTCCTTCAACCTCCACCTAATACAAATCTGCTCTTTCAACCTCCACCTAGTCTGAATCTCTTCCTTCAACCTCCACCTAATACATATCTGCTCTTTCAACCTCCACCTGGTCTGAATATCTTCCTTCAACCTCCACCTAGTCTGAATCTCTTCCTTTACCATCCAGCTAGTATGAATCTGTTTCTTTACCCTCCACTTAGAATGAAACTGTTCCTTCAACCTCAACTAGTATGAAACTGTTCCTTCAACCTCAACTAGTATGAATCTGTTCTTTCAACCTCCACCCACAGAATATCTCCTTCAACCTACACCTAGTCTGAATCTCTTCCTTCAGCCTCCACCTAGTATGAATCTGCTCATTTACCATCCACCTAGTCTGAATCTCTTTCTTTGCCCTTCACCTAGTATGAATCTGTTCCTTCATCCTCCACCTATTCTGAATCTCTTCCTTCAACCTCCACCCACAGAATATCTCCTTCAACCTCGACGTAGTCTGAATCTCTTCCTTCAGCCTTCACCTAGTAAAAATCTGCTCCTTTACCATCCACCTACTCTGAAATTCATTCATCATCTGCCTAGTCTGAATCTCTTTCTTTGCCCTTCACTTAGTCTGAATCTCTTGCTTCAACCTCCACCTAGTGTGAATCTGTTCCTTCATTCTCCAACTAGTGTGAATCTGTTCCTTTTCCATCCACCTAGTATGAATCTGTTCCTTTTCCATTCACCTAGTGTGAATCTGTTCCTTTTCCCTCAACCTAGTATGAATTTGTTCCTTCAACCTTCACCTAGTCTGAATATGCTCCTTTATCCTCCACCTAGTATGAATCTCTTCCTTTACCATCCAGCTAGTATGAATCTGTTCCTTTACCCCCACCTAGTATGAATCTGTTCCTTCAACCTCCACCTAGTCTGAATCTCTTTCTCCAGTCTACACCTAGTAGGAATCTGTTCCTTTACCATCTGACTAGTAGGAATCTGTTTTTTACCCTCTATCTAGTATGAATCTGTTCCTTCAACCTCCACCTAGTGTGAATCTGTTCCTTCAACCTCCACCTAGTATGAATCTGTTCCTTTTCACTCCAACTTGTATGAATCTGTTCCTTTGCCATCCACCTAGTATGAATCTCTTCCTTCAGCCTCCACCTTATGTCAGTCTCTTCCTTCAGCCTCTACCTAGTCTCAATCTGTTCCTTACCCTCCACCTTGTATGAATTTGTCCCTTAATCCTCCACCTAGTATAATTCTGTTTTTCCACCTTCAACCTTGTTTTTTATCTGTTACTTCACTGAGACTAAATCTGTTCTAACCTTCTACTGAGTCTGAATCTGATTCTATCAGTTTGAATCAGCCAGTTGGTTCTCCATTGTTGTATTAGGTGGAACATGAGAAACTGAGAACTACAGAAACAGAGGTTTTTGTTGCTTCAGCACAAAAGAAGATGACAGAAGAAAGAATGAAGATTTGCAAAGAACTTTGGGATGCTGGAATAAAGGTGATTTTATATCAGGAATTTCATATATCAAGGATGGTTCACGACAGCATATTTTTAATATTGTGTGCTTAAGGCACATAATATTTGAATAGAAATTAGGTTAATGTATACTTAAGCATAACCCTTTAGTTCATCTTTCTTTGTAGTATCTTTCTGTGCATTTTTTGAAGGTGAAATATCAAACTTCACTGTGTTCTTTTATAAACTTTAATCTTTTAGAACATGTTACTCTTTCACTGTGTTGTGGAAGCTGTATCTAGTCTTAGGTATTTCAAAACAGATAAAATGTTTAAAGCAGTGAAAATGGCTCTACTGTTGTCATGACAAATACTTAACTGTATGACTTCATTGTTATATTTGTACAAACAAAGTAAAATATAATTAATTTGAAATGTATTTTACAAGAAATTTTGAAACTCAATATGCGAAAAGAAAAATAAGGACTGTTTTTGTCATGTTAAATCTGATTGTTTTTATGACAAATTTTATTAAATTTTAGATTTTATTTTGACATGAAGATGATAAAAGAACTGAATCATGACCATTTCTTCTTTAAAACATATTTGATGCTTGTAACTACATTATGAATCTTTTCATATTTAAACTTACTGTTAAATTGAAATTATTACCAATTTTGTCTTTTATCTTGCAGACTGAGCAGTCCTACAAAGTGAATCCTAAATTATTAGACCAGCTTCACTACTGTGAAGAACGATTCATCCCTTTGGCCATTATTATTGGAGAGACTGAACTGCAGAAAGGTGTCGTGAAGCTTAGATATGTAATGAGTAGAGAAGAGGTACCCGATTGTGTTTTTAAAAAAACATGTTTATGTTTGAATATTACCGAAAACATTAATGTTTCATTAGAATAATGAGAGAGATTGACTGAATTATGAAATAGTGTGTTAAACTAATTTATGTAAACTGTATAATTAAGTGTTGATGTATTTTGTGAACAAAGCTGTACTAGTTTTAGCCAGTTGTGTGCGGTGATTTTTATATTTTGTACACTTTTTCGTCTTTTACAGATAGAAATCGAAAGAAATAAGTTAGTTCAAGAAATTGGAGCTCATATCAGGACATTCTCAAGTATCAAACAGACCTGAGGGAATTTTTATCAGCATTTCATTTAAAATCTGAGACTTTAATTTCATTATTATCTTAACATTGAATAAATTGTGAATACATGAATTTTTATCACTTATAAAAACCAAAGGTATTTGATTTATATAAAAAACAAGTTTTTATCAAAATGCAACATTAACTATTTTGCAACATCTAATGTATATTTTTTATTAGACCAAAAATGCTGTTAGCTAAGCATGGACTGATAGAACTTGATATTATAAACAAATAATATAATTTTTTTTAAGATATCTATATATGTTTCATTATCTAAAAAGTTCATAATATTACTGAAAGAACTTGTGAGCTTTATTTTAAAGTTGGTGTTGTACTGAAGTATCTTTGGCTCTGTGTTTCTGGTAAGATGCCACAAAATCCCAAACATTGAACAATAAAAAGAATTAATCAAATTTTGTGGTTGGTATTTACAAAATTTAAGGATGAAATGTCTGAAAGTGTGTAGTAATGGGTTAGTTTCATAAGTTATATCTTGATTTTGGACATCATGTTTCAGTAAATGTAGTAATGGGTTAGTTTCATAAGTTATATCTTGATCTTGGACATCATGTTTCAGTAAATGTAGAACAAGTTTTTAATTTTTTATTCTGTTTTTGTAATCACAAAACAGTTACTCAGGCTTTTGTTATCTCAAATATGCCTGAAATAAGGATGTGTTATTTGATGGTAAAGTAACAGGTAGCTTGTATACATAAAGATTTATGGTGTATTCTTTAGTATTTGGTGTTTTTTTGCACGCAACACCTGGATCTCAGTGCTTAAGTTTTTAAACCAATGAGTAAATAGTAAGTTTATCATAGATCACCATATAATCAGTAGTGATACATATACCAGTGGTCTCCAAACTTTAGGTATTCTATAAGGCACGTTGCAGAGCAAGACTTGGTAAAACACAAAATATCTTTATTTTACAGTTATTTGTAATATATTTATTATAAAATTTTTATGCAAATCAAAAACAGAATATAAGAGCACCATTAGACTACTGTAGTATATGCTTCCAGATGCTCCAGCTGTAAGTCTGAGAAATTATAAAACTGAAAATGGGATTTTGTTACCCCTCAATGGGCAGAGCACAGATATTCAATTCTGTAGCTTTGTTTTTAACAACAAACAAGCTTAAACATATTACAACAATAATCCTCCCCTCCGACATGAGCAGAAAATTGCCTTGTTATTTAGGTGGGAAAATATCTCAATGTGGCTTATAGCTCTCTCTCTCTGTAGGTCTGTGGACTTACAACACTATCATCAGGGATAGCAGATAACCCAATGTGTGTAAAAACAAAGAAACACTCTCATGTAGTCCATCACTTGTGATGATGACAGGTCAGATGCATTACGCTCTCATCTCATCTTTTGGGTCTATGAGTGCACAAGAATGATCTTGATGCACACAATGTAGCACTTGTTACAGTTCCGATGTAGCAATCATCTCTCACAGCTAACAGGTAGTTTCATCTTTGCAGGCTGTTGTGGTCAAGTGAGAAGGTGGGATCTGCTATTGGCAAACTCTCTGATGCTATCTCATCTTAAATGGTATGACTTCCAGTAATATAATTACTTTGCTTTAAATATTTACAGTATTTTTACATTATCTCAGTCAAGACGTATGTATGTATGTCATATATATATATTGTAAAAAATCTGAGCTAAATTAAAGACAACTTGTCCTAACAGGATCACACTAGACTAGTGCTCTACCAACTAAGCTACCAGAACTCAAGTAAAATCCAACCTGTTCTAACATTCACAACTTGGCATTCTGAAACTAAAAACACATAATAGCACTAGTTGATGTACCTACTGAACTGTCATAAGTGACTCCTAAACCTAACCATTCTGTACTTTTTTAGAAACCTTATATGTAAGATCAACAAGTATTCAACATTGTAAAGGCCATATGTGATATTTTTTAAAAGTTAAGATCAGTTTTAGCGAGTACCTTTAAGTAGATTATCAATGTTAAGATAACTATTTTCAGTTAATAAATTTGCCATTTGAGTCACCTGTTTTTAAATTGTTTTAAGGTATTTTGATTTTCTGACACGTCGACATTTATTGAATAAAACGTATAAGTTTATGTTGTATGGAGTTGGATAGGTGTAACTGTTAGCAACACAAACGTACTTAATTATATCATAATTGTAATCTTTTATCCAAACGTAACATGAGACTGACTTATTATGTCATTTCTTAATTGTAGAACTTCCTAGAAATTTAGTTTCTTTCAGGCCACGTGCTGTATTTGATGACACTAGCAAATCTCTCTATACTAGTTGTGGTGTAAACCTAAAAGCGGCCAAGGTCACGTATAGGTTTCAATATATAAATGTTGACCTAAAAAATACAAGATTTATCCTAATTACAAAATGAATACGCAAGTCAACTGAAGGTGACACGTGAATTAATATTGTCCAATCAGATCTGACATTTAAAGACACACCTACACTGTTGCCAACTCTTAACATTCTGTTAACTACGTGTTTTGATATCGCTATCTAAACTGCTGTTAACTACCTGTTTTAATATCACTATCTAGACCACTGTTAACTACGTATTTTAATACTACTATTTAGACCACTGTTAACTACGTGTTTTAATATCGTTATCTAAACTGCTGTTAACTACGTGTTTTAATACTACTATTTTGGACCACTGTTAACTACGTGTTTTAATACTGCTATTCATACCATTGTTAACTCCGTGTTTTAATACTACTGTCTGGAATATTGTTAACTACGTGTTTTAATATCGCTATCTAAACTGCTGTTAACTACGTGTTTTAATATCACTATCTAGACCACTGTTAACTACGTATTTTAATACTACTATCTAGACTAGGGTTAACTACGTGTTTTAATACTACTATCTAGACTACTGTTAGCTACGTGTTTTAATACTACTATCTAGACTACTGTTAGCTACGTGTTTTAATACTATTATTCAGATTACTGCTAACATCGTGTTTTAATACTACTGTCTAGACCACTGTTAACTCTGAGTTTTAGTACTATTATTTAGACTCCTGCTAACATCATGTTTTAATACTAGTAATGTTTAATGATGGCGTATTTTGTAGGGTACAGTAGATGTTTATACAGTGGAGCTTTAAGCAGAGTAGACATAGTAGGTTTTAGAAATTTAATAAATTGCAACTGTCTTTTGAAAGAAAAGAAGACGTCTCTGCCTTCAGGTTACAACAAATGTTTTAATTTTTGTTAAGATATGAGAGACAATGTAACTGAGAGGGTTTAATGGTTTTCGGGATATAGATGGAACATCATAGCTGATTATAATGATATTAAAAAAAGGAGTGTGTATTTAGTTTTAGCGCGAAGTTTCATAATGGTATATCAGGACTCTGAAATCAGAGCCAGTAAAGAAGCCAGTTTTTCGTTTCCAATTCAACTTTATGGTTTAATATGGACAGCTAGGGAAAATATCACCGACGGAGTGCAAATCTGGAATAATTATGTATGTTGATGGTGGTAATCCACTTTCAATACTCCATGAAGATGTATCGGAAATAACTGCCGTTCCATGTTTGTTGTTTTAACTAAACACGTTGTATTCTATACAGATGTCAAAGAGCAACTTGAAAGTATAAACCGGAAGTGCTAGGTTAAGTTCAGGTAATTACCGTTTGAGATATTCTATTGTTTCTTGTACTGATACGTTAGTAAATGATTAGTGAACGTCGAAACTGAACATTCTACCATTAGCTATGTGAAAGTTTTGTTACTTACTGAGACAGTTCACATTATATATATATATATGATGGCAAGATTCTTCCTAGAACGGGGGATAAGCGTTCTCTTGACCATTTGGATAGAAATACAATAGGATATAAACAATGTTAAATGCTGTGGAAGATTGTAGAGAAATACAGTAAGATATAAACACTGTTAAATGCTGTGGAAGATTGTAGAGAAATACAGTAAGATATAAACACTGTTAAATTCTATGGAAAATTGTATAGATTTATGATGTCAGAAAAACACGTAGGTTTAATGCAAAACGATAAAACCCTGTAACCTGAGCTTTTTCGAAAGGTGGACCTTTCTTCTTCTTCAGGGGCAAACTAGGAAGCTCCTGAAGAAGAAAGGTCAACCTTTCGAATGCGCTCAGGTTACAGGGTTTTATCGTTTTGTATGAAGATTGTATAGAAATACAGTAAAATTGAAACTATTCAATTCTATGGAAGACTGTATAGAAATACAATAAGATAAAACAAAAACAATGTTAGATTCTGATAGAGTATCTTAATTTAAGTACAAGCACAAACACTAGTGACGAAGACGAAAAACGATATAAAGACGATCTTCAAGAGGTAAAATCTCGATCTTCAGCTTATAGGTTGAACTCATAAAGAATATCATGAAAAGTTTCTAAACATAATTCATTTCGTACAAAAACTGTTTAGAATTCAAGTCAACAGTTACATAGTTAATAATGTTCATCACAAACAAACTAAATAATAGACTTGACCGGTTAAAGTAATGTGTTATATTGATAATGTTCGTCACAAACAAAAAACAAACGAAACCCCTACTACTTTCCAGATTATACACTATACCAGTTAAAGTAACATGTTATAATGTTCATCACAAAGTGACGAGGCTTTCTTCTTCTCAGACTACACTATTTAAAGCAATGTTTTATCTTGATAATCAACGAAACTCCTACCATTTTTCAGACAATATAAGTACTTTGATAGGTGCAGTGTACTCAGTATGTATTTTCCATATATCAAACCCCAAATGTTTTACTTGTAACATAATTTGTGTACAGGTATTTACAGCACCTCAAACCTGTTTCGAACCCGACCAATGGCATCTCTTTACAAATTATTCCTTTTTTCCCCCATATATATATATATCACAAAGAGCGCGATTTCTTTACGCATGCGTAGGAATATAATCCACCTGTATGAGTTCATACAATAAATGTTAGTGTACTGTGAATCCTATTTATTATGCAATTTTCTTTCTGGACTTGGTATATTCATTGAAGACCTGAATTACTAAGGTGAGTGTCTGTTGTTCAAGAAATATCCTTCTTTTGTATATCATATAAGTAGTATTGGGGAGTAATTGTTGTGTTTAAAGACAGTTTTAAGTACTGTTTTACTTATTCGATAACGAGGAACCCGCTTTGAGACTAATAATGGCTGGAGACGGCTTGAATGGGTAATGAAGAAAAACTTTAATATAAGTTTAACATAATAGCAAATGTACAACGTTTCGACAAGGTTTTTGTCATCATCAAGAAAGTAACGAATCGGTGTAC